AATACCATAGATGACTAGTTCTATTCTTAAAAGACTAGATAGGTCGCAGCACCAGCGATTCAACATGGACTGTGCTACCATTTTTTGCTTCCATTCAAACATAAAAAGAATAAGTCGTATAATGAAACATACATGACTGCCAAGAAAATCCTGTTATCTTGCAGGAATGGGAATGCAGATTTATGACATTATAAAATCGGTACTTCTCCGTTATCCGTACCCTGCTTCGCTCCTTAAAAAATGTATTTTTTGGTTATTTTCAAAGGTGATATAATCGCTTGATAGTTTAAATCAAAAGCGATTTGAACTGTGTATTTTGTTTTCAAGATGGCTCCATTGTTATTGCTGAACAGCAAAAACAAATTGTTGTTCCTCATTCAAACATTTCTCACTGACCGAGTTTTTCCCTTGGACTTTTAGTAAGCACTCGATAGTTCAAATATCGCTAATTTTAGTGATGCACTTGGTTTTTGAATTTGGCACCTGAAAAAGCGAGGTGGCTTGCTGGCTATGTTGCGCAATCCCTATCCACGTACTCAACAAAGCACGGTGGTTTGATGTCCACGTCGCGCTGCGTGAAACTTAACATTCTTTTGGCTGATACAGCGCAATAAAAAGTACTTTTGAAAACCAAGCATATCGTTAAAACTGACGAGATTTAAGCTATCGAGCGACTGATAAAAGTTCAATGGAAAAACTTTCTTTGGCGAGAAAATATTTTATTGAAAACATATAACACAATTGGAACTTTGAGATTTGAGATATCAGATTCTGTTAAAACTTGAAAAAATGCAAGAAGCGCGTTTTTCTCAACGGATCCAGAAAAGGTGTGGATGAAGAAAATGATCTGAATTTGCGAACCGAATCTTTTTTTGACCGTTACAACGCAATAAGAATTATTTTTCAAAAACCAAATATATCGCTGGAATTTCTGAGATTTGATCTATCTAATAGCTACTAGAAGTTTAACAAAAAGCTTTTTTCTGCCCTAAATACTTGGATGAGAAAAAATTTGATTTTAGCTGCTTCAGCATATTAACGGCCCCATTTTGAAAACAAAACGCATATTCAAGTCTTCTTAATTTAAGCTATCAAACGATTACTTAAACTTCTAGGACGCTTGGAAATTTTGTTTTTTTCTGAAGGGTGAAACAGGCTAGGAATTATAGAAAAGTATTTGAAAATCAAAAACATTGAGAGGTTTAATCCTATTCTTGATACCAGGATACTAGAATCTCTACAGTTTCTTTAAGGCTTTCTTTCTCGTTATTCTCTACTTGGTCTTATCTTCATCTCCTTCTCAGCATGCAAGCTCCTCGCACAACAACAGCTTGAAGAAATACTTCAGCTAATAATACTCAAAAAACAGGTGCTGTGATGAAGCAGTCTTGATAGGAGAGAAACATTGGAGGTAAGAGGAGAGAGAGTAGGCGAAGAAGCACTACTAAACGGAATACTGAATACATAAATATGCACAACAATGAAATCAACAGGACGAGTACTCCATCAATTAGGTATTTTCCCAGCTGTAAGCATTCACACTTGTCTAGTAAACACGAAAACATCCCATTACGCTTGCACGACAGCATTTAAGCTTCATAAGGGGACAGCTCTGCCTACAGTGAGCTTATTTACTACTTCAATTAACTATTTTTGTCGCTAATCTCTTGTAAGGAAGAATCTAATGACAGTTGATGGTGAAACTACACATTTTCGATGGCAGCCGATATGTCATCAAACAGAGCTTGACTCAATAGTCTGCTAGTGCTTAATGGGCTCAAGCGATGACTACCTTGCCTTCAATGACTAATCCACAATAGGAATATTAAGCACAGGAGGATAAACTTAGCACCGTTAGGCCGTTTCTGAGAGACCTGTCATTTACTACTTTTTATTCACCAGAGTCGGGGTTACTAATTAAAGAGAAAGGACAAAGTTTCCTGCTTGACCAATCCTTGAGAAATGCGCCATACATTCGTCTTCATTAAGTTTCGTTAGAAATAATCGAACTCATATCAGGCTCTTTCAATGGCTCGTGGTGGCCTACTGATTTTCCAAGTTAGTGTTGCTACTCCAACAGACAATTCTGTTGTGTGCTGCAGAGTATCTCTAATTACTGAGTCACACTAACTGCTTATGATGATTTGATAAATGTCTATTTCACCTATACAATAACTTGCTGGGGCTTACCGTTTGTTTAAGACAGTGTCTATATTCCACCAGAAACGTTTACAAAATCGCTGTTGTCGAAGGCGATTTAATATGTGCTGCAGACTACATCAACTTTCGCATATGCATTTTCATCACTTTCGTTGTATGGATATACATGTATATATACATACATGCATATACATATATGCATATATACACATGTATATGCATATATTTATATACATACATACATACATGGTGCTTCTGCACGTAGGAGGGTGGTGAATTTGGCCAATGTCATGGTAGTCGCAAGAAAAAAAAAATTTGAATTGTTCGGACTCGTCTCCAAAAAGTCTCATATTTACAAAGTGAAACTTCGCTAAGCTGCCCATTAGTATGCCTATATTTCAAGAGTCAGGGGTTTCCTTCTTGTAGAGTCAATAAAGATGAATGATCTTATGCGAAAGGAATGATGTGTTTCATGCCGTTGAATGAGTTATTCCGTTAAGTAATGTTGTTGAATGAGTTATTCCGTTAAGTAGTTCACGAGAGGGTGAGTGAGTGAGTGAAAACACTAATCGCGTCCGTTCAGTAAGGTCTTCATCAAAAGAGTTGAGAGTAAATGATACATTCGAGCAACGTATAAAACTGCAGTGTAGAATGATTTCCGAAATTAATATTAGCATAAGCCTACTGACTGAGGAAATAAAAACTCCAAAGGCAGAAATCAGTAAAAACAATGAATTTTCATAAACTGACACCAAGTGCAATTGCCTCTACTACGAAACTTGATACGCTTATATTCTGAAGAAGTAGAAAAGCAACGGGTAGGATATACAGCATTCTATAAACATATGCATAAACGCTTACATGGACCTATTTCTGCTGAATACTATTTCACTGGGTAGTAATAGGTTGGCGAAAAAGTTTGGGGAAAACGCCTGTAACTTTTTTGAATATCTGCCATTTTATGTGCGTTCGGGCTCATTTGAAAGACCGTCTTCTTCCGCGTTGATTGGTTTATAATTTCTCTATTTAATCCAAGACGGAGTTAACAGGCGAGCAAATTAGGTTGTTGATGGTGCACGAACGGCTGTTGGGTTTAAATGCAACGGTGGCAAATGAACGCATCAATCTAGCTTGGGGCGAAGACACAGGTGGCAAAAAATACGGTTTACAGATGGTTCGAAAAGTTTGACGAAGGTGAAGAAAGTTTCGTTCAATGGAGCACTGGTTGCGCGACAAAAGGTTTAGTACCAATATTGAATAGCACAAATCGGTCATTCATTCCTTCAAGGGCAAGTAATCGAAATTTTATGCTCGCGAAACCGATCTTTTGCGGGAGAAGTGGCAGTAAGTGCTTGAAACTGAAGGGGAGTACTTTAGCTATTAAATTTGTCGTTGTTCGGGTTAAATAGGTGCATAAATAAATGCTTCACAAGCATTTTATCAAAAGTTTTTCCCAACATATTATTCTCCTTCATAGGTTTACTTTTGTAACAATGGATGTTTAAAGTCTCCTACAAACTACTTGCATCAGACATAGCGAACACTCAGGGGCAGGAAAAAGGGCTGTAATGGAGCTGGAATTAATAGAGAATGTTATACTCGTGTCTTCCATTTTATCATAGATTTTAGATCAAGTATGCTCACCAGGTGATAAATTGCAGACTGAAAATTAATGCATATTGCATACTGACAAGACTTGCAGACACAAGAATTCGGGAACTGGAGGGCAAGTTGATGGTGAGGGTTTTGCTACACAGTATGCGGAAGGGAGGAAATCTGAAGGATCTGGGTAATTTGTAAATCAAAGACAATACGATATCAAGGAATTTGTGGAGCAATGCGTACAAGTCTAGTCTCTCGTGCTTTGTCGGCGAATATTCTGATAGGCAACTATATGTGCCAGAATACTGAGTAATTTTACAAAGATCCAAAACTCAAACGGGAGTTGAAGCTGCGTCTCAGTCTTTCTAGGAAGTTTACAAACAACTATCTACACTACCGAGGCTCTTACTCTACCATCTTTCTCAATGTTCTCAATGTGATTCTAGGCATCCAAAGAGCAATTCTGAGGCATCTGCGTGAACTCTCAACAGAGATTCCGAGTTTTGCATATCACTCATCATTTTTGGATGTACAAAGGATACAAATATAACTTCTTCAAGAGCAGTAAGAGGAGAAATTCTTGTAGATTTCTGACGAATGCTTTTTATTGACAAGAACAAGTTGCTTAGTTGTGATGCAAATTTGGTGGTTCCATTGAATAACGAATGAACAATTCATAAGATGGATGACTCATACACAAAAAAAGAATGAAGATAACAATTGGGAAAAAAGCAGCAGACGGAAAGGAGTTCATTGAAGAAACGGCGAAACTTTTCAGGGAGCATTCTAGTGATAGCCACGGTATTATGAATATTAGTGATGAAAAATGACTTCATACAGATATGTAATTACCTAATCACAACACTTTTCACTCAGCAATTTTGAGGCAAAGCATTTCACTTAGGTTAAAATGCTTGAGAACGTTCTCAAATTAGTAATCTCGTAATTGATGCATTTGGGAAAAGAGAAACTAGGATTAATCAGATAGGTTCACCTTTATCAACTCGATGAATTGAAACTTTTGAAAGGAAAACTTTTGAAAATGGCTATCCTTGGTGAACAATAATGAAAAGATAAGTACTACTCAAAATCTTTGGTATTTTTACTGCCTTTTCGCAGTGTAATGATGTTTCCATAATTACCTAAGAGAATTGAGTGGTGAGCGAAAACATGGCCTCAGGCGGGAATTGAACCCGCGTTTCATCCTATCCGGGGAAGCGTGCTCTAGCACTAAATGTGCCTCGGTGGTGTAGTGGTAGATCACGCCACCCCGGATAGGATGTAACGCGGGTTCGATTCCAGCCTGAGGCCATGTTTCTGCTCACCACTCAATTCTGTTAGGTATACATAAACTGACTCAATGAAGAGTTACTCTGAAAATGTTTTTAGGGCGACATTCAATCATTTAATCTGTAATACATTCGATGATTGAGTAACCTCGGGAGGTGGTCAATGTGGAATTGCACCAGCTGCACCCATCACTGACAATTAGAAACATCTCTTGTCATAATGAAGCAGTTAATTTACTCAAGGATCAGTCAGCATCTACCTCCATAGTTCAGATTGACTTTTTCAGCCGATTTTGGTACCTACCTTTTTACGAATGGGAATCTGAACTAGTGCTCGTCTTCATGAAAACGTGATTTGCTTTTCTCGTATATCGTATGTGTCCTGTCACTTTGATCACATATTTCCTCTTCTGCGTCTGTCATAACAAGTATTTGTCATGTGTTCGCTTACAACACGACGATTTGTTGCACTCCATAATCATTTTCGGTGCACAAAGATAATTTACCAATACTCGCAAGGCTTGCTACGATCCTGCGTAAGAGAATCAAGAAGGGCTTCTTATCGCTGCGAAGTTACAAGATGGATACAAATCATACTCGAACGTAGTTTCCCTTAAATGCAAGGAGATAGGTAGCCTGTGATCTGGGAATTTCCTCTCACGACTTCCAGAATCCCGGAGAAGGCCTATTCCACTAGCAATCATCGACGATTATCAAGAGATCGATGGATGCAAGGGGATCAAATGGAGGTTCTGTCTTTTGCACCAGATGTGATATTGGCCATGCACAAACATAATTGGCGAGAACAAAGTTCATCAAGAAGTTGATGAGTCAGAGCACTAAATGTTTTCGAGAAAGGAAAGGGAATTCATTATAAACGAATTACGATATAACGTTTGCATGTCTGCACAAATAGTCGCTCTGTTTGTTTTAAGAGGTTCAATAAATGTGCCAACAGTTTCCTGACAGAAATTTTTTGGTTGACAAGATTGACAGCCTCTAACCTCGCCAATTCTCAATAATTTCTTGTTATTAGGCTTCATAAGAAAAACCAAGGATTGTTTGGTCTTTTGAATAGATTTCTTCGTTTCAAGGTTGACGGATTTTACATAACCATGGAAATATAACAAACATACCATATCAACTTATCTATTAAGTACATTTAGTAGTATTCAGAAGTAAGTAAGAAGAAGCATATCTCATAATTACTATTTGAGCCAACATGTCATGTAATGTGTTAATGAGCTCTTGTACAGCCCGATACACGTGTCTCCATCATGACAGTCCCGTCAGTAGGGCAGAACCCTTCTTTTTTGGCCAATCCACTAGATAGTTCCTACTCTCTTTATAAAGTAATTGGCGACGACAAACGATTCACACAATCGCCGTCAAGTGAAAAATCACAAGATCGGCAATTTTCGACACTCGATTGCTCTTGACTGGAATTTTTGTAATATTATACCTTTTACTTTGAGTGTTTTATTAAAACCACGCTGAAATTTTGATATATCTCATAATTATTATTTGAGAAGAAGCAGTTCGAAGGTTTTATGTAAAAGTAGTTCTGCGTGAAAACTTTCAATGAGCAATGACGGAATAAATAGACTCCGAAGGTTGACTGTGATGTTTCAAAGACAGAATCAGTTTTTCTTAAGATGTCACTTGAGTGACGTCATAGAGTTGGATGACGAAATCTGGGTTCACAACAATGCCGTTTTCTACTTAAATGTTCAGAAAGAAAGTAAAAGAATAAATAATGATGACTCTGTCTCCAGCTCAAGTGTCACTCACAATAAAGAGAACCACTAAAAGAATTTTTCACGTAACCTGACGCAATAAATTTAACTCTTGTTTCAAGAATTACCGCACCGTATGGGAGTGTCGTTAAATTGCGGACCTCACCGCCATCCGAGTACCGAATAACCTTAGCCGATTTTCATATTTCCTATCAGAAGCTTTATTTTTGTAAAAACCAACGTTGAAGATCGGAACTATCATGAAATGGAATTAATCGAAGATTGACAAGCTTTCATCGACACACAAAGACTGACAAGTATATGACGAGTACATTGAGGGGCAGGTACTTGTGATCTAAAGAAGAACACTTTTCTGGAGCTATATAATGAGTTTTATGAAGACCAATCGGTTTTGCGCTCACATGCTTCCTCATCTACCTGGAATGTTGTGACAAAATCAATATGGAGTATCTTCCATTCTCAATAAATTTTGAATGATCTACTTATCATACGTTCAATTACTCAATTACACATCCACATCCAACGTTCAAACAACTATGTTATATCTGCTCTGTAACATAGAAAGAGCGATGTGCAAAATAGGCGTCAGTAGTGTAACGCATAGAGCACGCATTCCCGGAAAGAGTGAGGTGCGGGTTCTGGTCCAGCCTGACGCAAAAGTTTTGCACATCACTCTACATCAATGGGTATGTCATATCCCATGGAGCATTTCGGAATTTGTTGATTATAGATGTATACGAATAGTATAGAATTTCATAAGCTTCCAGAGTTATATATATACATATATATATATATATATATATATATATATATATATATATACATGATACTTTTCCGTTATCTGATCGCCGTTTGGACCCCTTGTAAAAAACGTAATTCTCGGTCTTTCTCAATGTTCAAGTAATCGTTGGATGGCACAAATCTAAGGAATTTGAATGGGATATCTGATCTTCAAAAACGTCTTCTTATTGAGCTGAAAAAAGAGGAATAAAATTTTGTTTTTCGTTGAAAGATTTTTCGCTGATAAAAGCTTTTTCTTCGGAATTTTTGCAACCGATCGATTAAGACAAATCTTAACAATTGCAGCGATTTAGTTGGTTTTTATGTACGACCTGGTGTTAGGTTGTACCAGCCAAAAGAAGATTGTGTTTCGGAAAATGGAGCGCTTCAACCAGCCCTCTTCATCTCGATTTATTGGAGAAAGCGCATATTTTGATCTTTTTCTTAGATCTATGCAAACAATCGGTAGCTTAAATCAAAAGAATTTGATTGTTTTGCTTCGTTTTCAAAAAAGGCTTTGTTATTGCGCTGAAAGAGCAAAAATAGTAGTTTGTTCCTCATTCGAAGATTCTTCGCTAAACAAGGCCTCTCTCTTATAGTTCCAAAAACCAAAGGATAGATCAAATCTCAAGAATTTCAGTAATGTTGTTAGTTTCCTGAACGGGATTCTTATTTTGAATATGAACCAAAACAAAATTGGGCTTCGCATGCGATGCTTTTTTCCAGTTTTGCGAAAACCAGTCTTCTTTTGGCTGTTACAGCGTGATACGAAGTCGATAATCAAAATCAAATAAATTACTAAAATTCTCAAGATTTGGTCTATCGATAGGCTACCAAAACTACAAAGAGAAAGCTTTTGTCAACGAGAAATCTCTGAATGAGAAACAAAACCTTTTTTTTTTACTCTTTCAGCGCAATAAAAGGGCTCTCTTGAAGACAGAAAACACCTTAGAAAATCTTCTGACTTGAGCTATCGACCATTCTGTAGAATATATATATATATATATATATATATATATAATATACTGTACGACAGGGGCCGATTGTTCAGTGATGCAGGTGAGTATGCAGCAGGTGTTCTTTCGACCTCATACTCAACACTCTCTTGCGGTTAATCAATGAATCTATTAGCTTCACAAGTTACTCGACCAACATTCTACGCCATTTCTGAAGAAGACGAAATCTTTAAGCTGGTATCAAAACAACACGCAATCTCTAAGGATGCATACGAAAAACCAAATCGAGTGTTAGAAGTGATCAAGTCTCATACTCGCACTAGTGAGCATGTGGCTTGAACTTCACAACGGGTTCACTCAACAATGTGAAATAAAAGCCTCGAAAAAACTTTTCCTGAAAAATGAAAATTGCTCTGTCTAGTGCGATTTGCTTTTAGCTGTAACAGGGCTCTATAAAAAGCTTATTAGAGGCATTCAGTTTCACAATTGCCAAAGTTCAAGCTATTAGATGCTTACCAGAAGTCTGTTGAAAGCCATACACAAACGTCAACCCATCAAGTAATTTGCAGCGAAGGTGAAGCGTATTTTTGTCAACACTATTACAACACATTTCCAACATCTTTCAAAAAATCAAGCACAGTTGTGAGATCGTTATTTCTAGGATATTAAATGATTACTTGAAGTTCGAGAGAAAGAGAAGAGAGAATTAGCTGTTCCGTAAAAAAATCAAGAAGGTAAACGCGCGTTTCACAAAACACACTCCACCCTATAAAAGAAAAATAGCCTCACAGTATTGTACACTGATTCTATAGCGGTCATTTCGGATAATGCAGAATGGCTTTCCTATAATTTTTTCTTGCAAATGCTCGTTTTGTCGCATAATATTTTTGCGATACCCTTTGCATCAAATCTATAGCTTTGCTGGTGTTATGAGCAAAAATGTCAAAAAACGGACATTTTCGGTTCCTTTCGGCTGTGCGAGAACAAATCGATATTTGACCTCATTCTCTAAAGAAGAATTTTTCACAGGAATGTTAGTAATCAACAAAAACTTAAATCACTGGCTAGCACTCCACACAATCGGTTTCTGAAAGTCTTTTTATTAGCGTTTTAGCATCTAGTTTAAAATTATGCTTTACATGCACCACGCGTTTTTCCTTTCATCTTGCTTATATTTCGCAGGACGAAACTCCTCTTTTAGACTGCTGATGCTCTTTTGAAAGCACGAGTTTCGAAGAACTAAAAATGCGCTTGCTCTTGGAAAAGGTTTTTTGATTGCGCTGTAGAAGAAAAAATATTCGCGTTTTACACTATTCAGGACATAGCTCTTTCTTGAGATTACTAGTGATCATTCGATAGCGTAAGTTTCAATGATTCCATCGTTGTGCTTCTTTTCTGAAAAGACCGTATCACTGCAGTGTAGCAGAACAAATAAGATCGAGTACCACATTTTCTGTGGGCTTGTTTGCCGACTAATCCAGGGACTGGGAGCGAGGCAATCGATCGATGGCCTGATGGATTAGCATGTG